ATTTAGATCTTAATCAGCTTTAAATAAAATATTAATTAACCTTTCATTGTTAATGCAAAATTATTTGAAGTTTTATAATGAGTGAAAAAGTGTGCGGATACTTTTGTCCACCTCTGTATAATTAATTTAGATTTTAAAAGTTTTGTAATAATAATTTAAAAAAAAAATTTTACTTTAAATATTTATAAGTTTAGATTTAATATTAACAAATAATTTTTTTTTTTAGAAATTTTTTTTATTGTAAAACTTTTAGATTTAGCAAATCTGTATTTTGAATCAGTTAAGTAATATTATAGTAAAAGTATTATATTCAATAGATAAATTTTATGAATTTTTCTATTCAAAAATCTAATTAAAAATTTTTTTTTGGATTTAATTAATATAATTTAAATAATAAATTAATTCAATTTGATAGCATTACATTGAATGGTAAAATCAGATGAACTAACTATTCAGTTTGAAGGTTTGTTAGGAATTGAAAATATAATATATTGATATTATAAATAATACATTCCGCAAGGAAATTCACGCACTGACAAAAAATTTTCTGACGAAGGAATAATATAAATGTTCCAGAGGCCAACTCGCCTACCGATTTGACTGGTTAAATTGACAAATATGGATTCAAATTATGAAAATTGAAATAAGATTAATTTAATATTTACGCTTTTTGAAATTAATCTTCAACTTTATTTCCGTTTGATTCTAATTTTCATTTCTTTACATTGAATGTTAACATTATATTGTGTTAGAGGATCCTTAGTAACAACTTCGAATTTATATTTATAATACAACAGAACAATCATCATTTTGAGTTGAACCATTGCAAAATGTCTGCCTGGGCACATACGCAACCCACCACCAAAGTTCATGAGGGTACCTTTATTATAAGTTTCATCGTTATTGCTACTAGCTAAAAATCTCGAGGGATTGAATTTAGTAGGTTCTTTCCAGTAATTTTGATTCTTATGTAAACTCACAATATTTATCGCCAATTGTGTTGATGATGGAATATTATATTCATCAAATTGATCGGAATGTTCTAAGAAACGCGAAATCGTTGATGTAACTGGCCTGATTCTTAACACTAGGAAAAATACTGCACAGTTAAGTAATGATTAATCGGGGTGACTAAAAGATGTAAAAACGGATGATCACCTTCTTTTATTACAGCTTCAACATATACAAGTTTATTCAAATCTTCATAGGTAATCTTAAAATCAGATCGACAATAAAATACCTTTTCAATCTCATCAAGGATACATTGCTCAACATCCGGATTAATCCCAACATTATAAAGAATAAATGCTAAAGTATTTGAGGGCTTAAAAAAAAAACTTTAACAACTTTTCATCTTATAAAATAAATATAAATTTGATATTAATACTTACACCGTCAATTCCTTCAC